TGATAGCGTCAGCCAAAATCAAATACTTATAAGTTGAAGGTGCACGCATCCCAGTTGGAATGAACAAGAAGTCACAAATCAGCTCGCTTTGCATGGCGTCTTTGCGTTTCCGTCTACGATGGCTGGTGGACTTGGCTGCAACGCATGTTAGACAGTCTGGATGAAATGGAAAATGACCCTGCATACGATGTTCCTGCAACTTGTCCAAATTCTTCCTATCCTTTCTCAAAATGGATGGATGACTATGCTCACCGCTCTCCACCTGCCTGGAATCATCAGGACCTGCCAGAAAAGGTGAATTGGAAACATCTGCATCGAGTTCGGTTGCGTGATTGGGCTCAAAATCATAGTCAAACGGCTCGCTGGAAAACTGAATTCGTTCAGCCTCCAGCTGATCACGTATGGAAACTTCATTGGGGTTCGGATTCAAAGTGCTAGAAACGGCTGCGGGATCCAGTTCTCGGATATCCGTATCCGCTGAGCGCTTTGTTGTCATTACAAATGGCTGGTCTTCAAATGCAAGCTCTTCGGAATTCACCATCTTCTCAACCGATTTCCTTTCCAAACTTTTGTCACTTGGCACATCGATTGGCATGTGTTTGCTGTCATGCAAAATCCATGGAACATTTTGCCATGTCACACTTGACAGTCTGAAATTGCCAAAGTGCACGGACACCTCACCGCCGTCACTACCAAGACTCCATCCTTTTCGAAGCAAATTCCCCACTGAGAGGACATTATTTGGAGCATCTGCAACAAACGCCGAAATCCAGCATTCTTTCAAGAAAGTTTTGGACGGATCATTGGTTGCGACCATGGTGAAAAACACTCGTAGACAAACAAGAGAAGTTGGAAAGATCACTTCGCCTGATGCTGTGGAAAATCCCGGTCCCGAATTTGGTTTCAAACTCACGGACTTGACAATTCGGTATCGATCTACAAATCGTGCGCTCACAACAGAGGCGCTGGCTCCTGAGTCAATGAGCCACCAATCAGCATCACGATGGCTATCCGAGGCTTGCTGCAAACATCTTGTTTCATTGGAATTACTCATTGGGCATAAAAAAGGCATGAAAAAACAGATTGTCTGTTTGCAAGTGGCTTGAAAACTCTGAGTCAGGAAAACTTTGATCAGCACATGAAGGAAAAACGCTGCAACAACAATGCTCAACGCTGCATGCCGACAAAGTGTCAGAGTCAAACGAGACGTTCTTGCTCTGCTTCTGCAAATGGTCAAGGGACTTTTCAAAGTTCAACACCTTCTGTTGGTACCACTGGCCAATGAAAGACTTCATTGGTGGCTGATGGTCCGTAGAACTGGATCCAGTCCCATCACCTTCAGGCGGATTCTCGCCTTCCTTGTGCTGCTCCACAAGTTCATTGATCTTGCCTTTTCCGGTACCTTTCTTTCCCTGACCACTGCCTTTGCCCTTTCCACCACTGTTGTTCTCTGGCCCCTTTTTCTCCTTGGAATCTGATCTCTTGCTATTCTTGGCAGCAGTACTCATGTCCAGCGGCTTCCCATTGGAATCTTTCTTGGCATGACAATTTGTCTTGTAATGACCTTTGCGACCACAACGGAAGCAAGTATCATTCTTTTCTTTCTCATTCTCGTCCTTTCCTGCTGAACCGCTCCTGCTGCTTGAGTTCTCCTTTCCCTTCTTGCCTTTCCCTTTTCCTTTTCCCTTTTTCCCACCATCCAAAGCACTGTGCATGTAGTGCGAATTGGTGTTTCCTTTTCCCTTTTTCCCACCATCCAAAGCACTGTGCATGTAGTGCGAATTGGTGTTTCCAGAAATCTCTGTCCAAATTCTGGAACTGGATTCATACCTCAAAGCTGCGGCTTTCAAGTCTACATACTCATCGGTTTTGGAATGAAGCATCACATAGTCACGAGCTGAACCAGTTAGGCTACGAAAGAGGATCATGCTAAAGTCCGAGGATTGAATCAACAGTCCATCCCGACTCAAATGAGTAGGCAACATTGCGAGCAATTTCTGATAACGGCTCTCTTCATAGTCAAGATTTTGGATCAGCTCAGTGATGCTGGCTGCTTTGAAAGTACGATTCACTAAAGCACTACGAAAATGCAAAATTTCCTGTCTTGATTTCAGCATGTACTCTGCCACGATAAGCCGAAGTGCTTCGAAGCCATTCTTTGGTCCGGGCTTTTCCTGATATGCCAACAGAATTATTCTTGCTTTGGCCGTCTGACCAAAAATCTGCCGCAACATACCAAGTAGACGGGCTCCACGTGCAAGCTGCGCTGTGCTCAGCTGGTGGTTGGGAATCGCATCAAGACAACTGGCTGAAAAACGAATTTCATGGGCAAATTCATGATTGATCAGGCCAACCCAACTTACTAGGTTTTCTACAAATGATTCGATGCCCAAAATTTCATCCAAGCGTGTGCGCCATTTCGATGAATCCACTGAAGGCATGGCGGGCAGCCATCGATCTGACTTGGCCAATGCATCAAGTCCGACCGAAGCTCCCACTGTCTCCGAGCCAGCTTGATTCATGACCCGGGCCTGACTGCTCTCCACACCTGGAATGCGCACAGCTGGATTAGTGGCTGTTGGGGCACTCGACAAGTCACCAAAACCAAGTCCTCCGCCAAGAGGCGAAGAGAATGGGCTGGACAAACTCTCGATCTTCCTGGAATCTGTGGCGTGCGAAGTCGGATCAACAGGCGTGTTGCTACCTGCAGGGATTTGTGCTGCTGCATTCTGCGCAGCACTTTGCAAGGAATTCAATTGAACCTGTTGACTTTGAAACGCTTTGCTGGCAGCAAGAAGGGCTGACTGTTGTCCCTTCATCTGCTCAACCACAGTCTCCAGATTCTTTCCCATATTCACTAAGTTCGCTTGGAGTTCATGAACCTGCTTCTCAAGCGCAAGAGTTTTGGCATCTGGCTGCATGGATCCAAGGGACGGAACAGGCAACGATCTGTGACGCTCAGAGACCATCATTGGGCGACCACTTTCGATCCTTTGACGCGATCTCCCACGGTCATCAAGTTCACGAGACCGCTCCCTTCCAGAGGCCATGGCTGCACACCGGAAAAACTGGTTGTAATTCTATGTTGTCCCTATTGGGGGCGTTGTCCCAACTGAAAACTGGATCAACTACTTTCTGAGCACCACGTGCTCCGCTACCATGCGGAATTTAACAGCCCCAGGGGATAAACAGTAGGTTGTCAACCAGATACCTTTCAAGATCTTAAAATGTGAGTTCTTATGATGTCACTCCCAGTGAAATCTCTGTTCTGATCTTTTCCATAATCGCGGTGTGGCCCTTGAGCCAGATTCCGGGATGGAATTCATTATTCCATGGACAGCACATCCAGCCTTTGGCAGGATGAAAAACTGTTTTCTTTGCATCAGTTTGGGTTAGATCCAAGTCCTTCAGTTCTGTTCTCTCACAGCCTACTCACTTGGAAATTCTTGTCGACCCAAACGTTGACCTAATTAGCACCTTCTATGGTGCAAAAGTTGGTGTCAAGCAACTTCTTCTGTGTCACATGCAAAACAATGAGTGAACAGCAGTGAACGAAATTTGCAAATCAGTCCAAATTTAAAGTGGATCTAAGTGACAAATTCTGAAACTATGTCTCACTGTTCTTGGCTGAGATGGTCATTCGCTCAGACACTTGGCTTGTCTACTTTCCTGCTATCACTACGTTTCCACCACTTCTCAAGTGGCTCTTTCTGCAGTTCAGAACATTCAAGCAAACATTTGGTTCCACCAAATGTGAAGATTGCACAAAACCAAAAAAAACGGAGAAATATGTGCAACTGATTATGGCTTCGCAAATTAAATCCGAGATCACAACTGCGAGACTCTCTGAACTGAGTGCACGGGCACAATCCAAATAAATCGCACTGCGCTAAGCACTATAGGTCAATGCTCGGATGCTTGTAGTTACATGTGGTTGCCGATGGCTTCTGAAGACAAGCAAATGGCATAAAGTCTAGAGTGTTGGAATCGGTTTCTCTCACATTTTCCACAACTGTTCTCAGTTGTGAGCAGCTTTCCCATCTGAAAATATTTCTGACTGTCGCAGTGGAGCACGCACTCCCAAGAAATTTAGTTCAAGCTCTCGTGACATCTGCTGCACTAAGTTTATGTCTACCGACGGATGCATCAAAGATGCACAGACATTATCAAACTAAATCTCTATGGAATGAGATCCTCACTCTTTGCACTGCACCTTTGGATTCGCAATTCCGGCAGGAATTGTGCAAAACTTGGCTTATCACTGTCCAAAAAATCAATACTCTTTCTCAGGAGAAAATTTCGTGTGTTCTGCACCAAAAATCAACTGTGCTTTGGCGTTTTTGATCAAGAAAATCATTTCAATTGGTGTTGAGCACCAAACGGCATATGCTTCATGAATTTAAGCCTAAGCGGCTGAGATTTTGGATCTGAAGCGCTGACACGATTGTTAACATGCACCTCTGTCCCAGATGGTGCATTATATTCACACCATCATCATCACCATCATCATCCACATTATCATAATTATACCCCCGCTTCCCCACATTGTTTGGGGTCTTTTGCCGGGATAACAGTCTTTAAATCACTGTTGTCCAGAATATCTCACCCTTTGACCATCAGTTTGCCGCTGTTTTGTCCATGTTTAAAAAAAATTGGCCTTTGGGGGTGAAATCTCAACTTGTTTCTCCAATGAATATGCATGGGAAAAGTATTGGGAAATTGCCATGTTCATTTTTGTTTGACGAACCATTGCATGGAAACAGGATTTTTTCCTTCGTATTAGTACATGCCTTGCTGCCTTCAGCAAATTTGGTGGCAGACATGCAATTCATTGCAAGCAAACCTGCAACGTAATTTCAGGAAAACATGTGACAAAAATTGTTTGTGAATGACATGAGCATGCCAACGTTTGTTTGTCAAAAATCATGTCACACCACAAAAACAGTTTTATAAATTGTGTAAGTTTACTTCAATTCTGAAAACGGTTTGCTGCTGATGTCGCATGAACTGCCGGGGCCTTTAAGCGATGCCAATTGCGGTTGGCCGTCAGCACAATTCATATTGTATAAACTGTATAAGTGGAAAATGACACCAGTCTGCTGCTTGAAAAATTGTATTTTATCAGTTTCTTTTGCAATTCGCAGTTCATTTTGCATGCCGTGGCGAGGCCTGGGGTCACAACTGCTGCAGAAGACCGCAGCGAGAATGTTGCGAATCAGGTTCGTTGGTGTGCCAGATTGATTTCGTTTTGTGTTTGGCGTATGATTAAAAAATAAACGAAACAAATGGAGGACACATTGCGACGGCGGCAAAGTTGTCGTGGAGCAGCTGAGCAAGGCCCAGTCCCAATGAACCCTTTTCTGGGTCGGTTTCTGCTTTCGTCCTGAAAATTCGAAAGGCAGACCATGGCAAACCTGTGTTTTGTTGCTCTGTACCAGTTGGTGTAAATGCAGTATGTCTTTTTAGTTCATTTCACATTTGTACTGTCGTGCTGTCAAAATGCAGTATGAGAAAAACCTTGGATTTGATTAGCATTTTTTTAAAATCCCGTGCCAATACCCAAGAATTGGAATTCGGACAAATTGCAATCAAACAGCATGTGGTTGCGCTTCTGGAAGGTTACCTTGGTGGGCAGTCCCCATGTTTGGGGTCACAATTGCGTTGCAAAGGCCCCACTTTGGGAGTTTCTTGGCATAAGCGTTTTTGAGATGCTGTGGGGTGCCAAAATAGTATTATCGTCGTGCTCTGGTTTTTGCCGAGCAACACATGCGCGTCAGACAAACACCGAATCCAACATATTTTGTGGATGATATTTGATGCTTAGGTTTCAACACGGTCTGGTGAGGATTCGCCTTCGAGAAAAAATTCAAACTCGCCAGTTAATGCTGTCTCCAGGCATGGATCATTGATTGAGTTCTGGAGTGGGTTCCAGTGTTTGGAACAAATGCATTGTGCCGGTTCCTTTGTTCTTATCTCCAATCAGGTGGCGTACCCACAGGAACGCTATGCTGGCTGTCAAAGATGAGGACGAGGGTAGCACGAATATGAATCTGCTAATATGTGATAATCAGTAAATCCAAGAGTCTTGCTGATTGCTTGCAGGAACTGGAACATGCCATCCAACTCGGAGCATACTATGTTGAAGACGCTGCAGAGGGGCGATTGGACAATGGCCTGGCTTCAAACTTTAAGTCTGGAAACAAACTGAAACTGAACTGCTGCCTGGTGCAGACTCACATTGTTTGGCATGCATCTCGTCCGATCAGCGGTCTTTTCTTCCATTCTCGCTGATTTGATTCAGGTCTTTCAGTGTGGAAAACTGTACTTGCACCAGGGAACACAAAAACGATCAGAAACGTGTACTCAGCAGATCTCAGCAGATTTCTGGTCAGAGTGTTGAGATAACAAAGGTCATGCTGATGACTGCCTGCGTTTTGCATTCTTTGCTAATCGTCTTTGAGCCCCCACCATCGCAGCGAGTAGCAAGCACTCGAGGCTGCTGGTAAGCATGAGGGAAAATGTTTTTTTTTTTTAATCGGTTTCCATTCCAACAGGAATTAGCAGCATGCAGACTCTTTGTCACTAGTTTTAATTGGATTTGTTTGCTTACTCTATCTTATACATTCTTATAATGTGAGTCTAGAATTCAGATTCTTCTTGGTGCAGGTTGGATCAATGCTGCAGAGATTTGTCTCATGTTTCTCTATGTGGCAGACATCCTTCTGAAGGTTGGATGCCAACACAATCATAAACATGATAAACATGCACAGATTTATGTTTATGGAACACAATCTGCGGCCTGCTGAGTTGCATTAGGGATATGACCTTTTTTGGTGGTCTTCTCTGCGCACACTTGGATTGATGTCCATACCTGATCAACTTTGAGGTGGCATATATGGGAGCTGGTACCTTCCTTTCACTGAAAGGCTCCAAAGCGGGGTGCTTAGCATACTATTGTATATATATATATACACACTACATTAGATAAAATTACTATAGATGTTTGATTCTGGTGGCTTGACCATGTGCAAAGATTATCATTTTGAAATATAATTACCATATGAGTGTTCATTTCAAGTCATTTGAAGTCATTTAAAATGGCACACTTGGTCTTCGAAAAGCTGCAAAGTCAAACCCAGTCAAACCCAGGTCTGGCAGACCACATATGCGGCCTTAACGACACTTCTTCTGATTGATGCTGCCATTGCACCAACCACTCGATTTTCACGGCCTCTACGGCCAATTATCCTGGTTCTTAGTGGTGGGCTTAGACTTTGGTGCTTGGGATTTGTTCATGTTTTGCATATGTTTCACATGTGTTTCACATGCTTTGTTTGACTCCTGAGTTTGCGCTCACATGCTCTTAATTTAAGGATCTCGGAGCATTCGAAACTTTTACACGACCGTCCTCAGAATTTGTCCAAGTCTGCTGAAAGTGTTGGGATTGCGCTGAGCTGAGCAATGCATGGCTTTGATACGCCTTGATGTGCAATTCACATCTCACTTTACCCACCTACTTCCACATTCTTGCAAATTGTGTTCACGCTGCTCCTGCTGATTCTAGTGCTTTCCTCGAACAAGAAGGTATCTCTTTTGGACTCTTGCTGTTGATTGGTGGGTTAAACAATGTTTTGCCCTGTACAGAAAGCTATGGATTTACTGAGTCTCAGGTTGCTTTTTATTCTCATGGCCTCGTCATTTGGATTGGCTCGTCTACTTCGTGGAAGCGGAAGTCAATACTTCAATAGCTCAGTGGCCACTTTTAAAGAGATGGCAGTGCTCTTGCTGACACAGGACAGGGCAACTTCCATACCGAAGTTATTACCACATGGATATCCCTGCAGCTGATCAACATTTTCAATTATCTTGGTGAAGGCAAAAGGAGTGGAAGTAACTGATGCAAACTCTTGCTGTGTAGCCTCTTGCCAAGAATCACCAGAGAACAGGCTCTTGGTTGCTTCCTTTTTTTTGGTCTTTCTGTGCTTTTGAGGACAACTACAAAGTCACCTGGCCTTGAAGTCTACGCACAGCACTCCAAGTCAAACCTGTTGTTGAATTGTTTCCAATGGGTGCTGGAATCACCGTGCCACAGTATCGCTGATTTTTTTCGTTCTGTATCGTCAATATTCACACCGCTTCGCGGCTAACTCCACCCTCACCAGCCTTGCCCCAACATGGCCCAACATAGCATCAACATGCAGTACGGGGCCAAACTTGGCTCTAAACCCAGTGTAATGCGTTTTTTTCAGTTTTCCACTTTTTGTTTGTTTTCGCGCATGCAGGGCTCAACATAGCTCCAACATTGCCCCGACTTTGCCCCGACTTTGCCCCGACTTTGCCCCTAGCATGGCTCAACCTGAAAGTCGGGTTCATGTTGGAGCTATGTTGAGGGTATGTCAGGCTATTTATCATGACGCTATGTTGTGCCATGCTGGGTCATGCTGGGGTGCTGGGGCCATGGGGCCATGGGGCCTTGTTGGGGCCATGTTGGGGCAAAAAGCACAGCATTCTAGACAAACACACGCTATTCTGTGGAGCTAAAGCTATACAGAGCTCAATTTGGCTTTTGCATCCACATCCGGTTTCTCCGGTGTGGGCGGCACACGCCTTGGAGCTCAGGAACTTCTCAATGATCTCATGAGTCACGGCGGACTTGTTTCTCTGCTGGTGTTTTTCACCTTCGTTGTCGTCGGTATACTTTTTTTGCTGCAGTTGCTTGGCTTCAGAATTTCTGAGTCTTGACATCCAAAAAGCAGCTATATTATAAATAGTCACGCTTTGTCCTGGCACAGACAGAAACAACATGTGGATTTTTGTAATTACCCTACTGTTCCTTGGAATGCGCATCTGGAAAACTGACAATTTTGTTGGCTGAAGCCTCCAAAAAGAGTGATCTTTAGTGCTTCAGGCTGATTTTGGGCACCGTTATTGATACGTACATGGAGGAAGCCCAAGAGGAGCTCAGGAGCAAGCGAGTCAAACAATCCAAAGGCTGGGGTTCCTCACACAGCCTGACTAAAATATGCCTTTGTGGCCTTTGATGCCTTTGTGTGTACCTCAGACCCTGGAAGGTTTGATGCGGGCCTTTTCGGTGCTGGACTTTCGAAACGAAGGAGCAGTGCTTCGACTTTTCGCTTTGTGGACAAAATAAATGTTTGACAAAGGTTGAAAAAAATGACTTGTTCTTCATGCATCAGTGTCAATCATTGTCAATCAAAGTCAACTAATAATGACATGAATTGTATTGCATTGTCTCTCAAAAAGCAAAGACCACAACAGCCCGCAGCTAGTATTTTGGAAGCAGTTTAAACTCACCAGTGTTGTTTTTGTCTCTCTTCCAATGTTGTCACTGTGGCATTAAAATTGTGTTGCCTTCAACAAGAGCAGAACCTGACCTCTTACCTCAGCCAGTAAATACATTCAGGACTTTCTGTTGTGATGTGCAGGAAAACTTCGGCAGAAGGCGTTTGAACGGTTGTTACAGAAGCTTCGGCCTTCGGATTCGCCCTTTGAGCGACATCTGAAGTTCAGTATCTTGATGTAAGGCAGTGCGCCATTGCTTTCCTGCCATGTCTCAGTTTCGGAAAGGTGTGTCATTTTTGGAGCTTTAGAGTTTAGAGAATGCTTCTATGGCTTAGGTCTTCTGTCCAACAAGTACAAGTCCATGGTGCCGCTTTCTGCTAGCTCCGGTCCATCCTCGCCAGCGCGAAACCGTTTGGAGGATGCATGGGCTTTGTTGAACAAACTGCTGCACGCAATTTGACGACGTGTCATCAAATTGATAGTGGCTTGCGGGAACAGGCAGAATCAGGGTGCAGGCAGGTGCAGGTGGGTTCAGGTGGGTTCAGGTGGGTGGAAGCGGGAAGATGATTCGAGTCGCGCCAGGACTTGTCGCCCTTGGCTCCAGCTTCTCCTCCAAAGCGACCAGTTTTGCCGCAGCTGCCGGAGTCTCCTCTTCCTTTTCAGCCTTGGAGCAATGAGCCCACGGTCGATCCTATTGATTTCCTGTCACTTCACACAGCTGCTTGTTGTCATTTGGTCGTTTGTCATGTTTTGTCGTGTCTATTTGTGCTGATTGAAGCAGATGGCATTTCGTTCCCAAGCATCGAGCTGACCGTATGCTTTCATATCACAAAAGGTAGCCTAGGCTACCTGAGTTCAATGTACTTTAGTATCTTTAGTACTGGTGGCTGGGTCTCCCCCCTCCCCCATTCGATTCCTCCGTGGTCCGTGAAATTTTCTCTCATCCCATTCGCTCATTCCAGCAGTGTTACGAGCTCTTCTCCCAATAATTGGCTCCAACCATTATTCATCACCAGTTTCGTTTATTTCTCATGTTTTCTTTGCATCGCTGTTACCGTAGCACTCCTTCACACTTTCCCCTCTTCCTTTTCCTTATTTTCTGTCATATTATTTGTTCGGCAAGCCTCTTCTTCAGTTCCGTTTTTGATTCAATTTCTTTCAATGTACCTTTGAATTTATCTCCTCCCAATAAATGTTTGCAAGGTTCATCCCGATGATTTTGCTACATTGGCATGCCTAGCGCCGTAATAGCACTGCTTGTGCTCTTCTTTCAATATCTTTTCACATTTGATTTGTCGAAAATGGCGTTGCATTGGTGCAACGAACGCTTCTCCCGACTCTTTTTTTTGCATCAAGTTCAAAGAGAAAGAGAAAGAGAAGATGACGATGCAAATGAAGATAAAGATGCAAATTCGAACGAGGACGTGGGCGACATTGTAACAAGAACAATATGCAAAACCTTCCACTTACAGTCATATTTTGTCCTGCTATATGTTTTCTATTGTTTTCTATACGCTTTTTGTCAAAGGCCATGTGCGGGGTAGAAGTTGCTGAACATGCTGGCATAATTGTATCCAAGCTTATGTTTCTGCGTCATTGTGGGAGCCTACCTGTGCTGTATAAAGCGCAGACATTACGCCCACCCAAGCCTCTGGGGTGGACACAGTTCAAGTTTGGTGGACTTTGTTTCCAAACGGGCTTACAACATACTGAAACCCTATCCGATCCCTCTCAAATGTTCCAGTTCGCAAACACCTCCCACGTTTGAAACTGCCGAACAGCAGTACTCAGTAGCTGCAGTAGCTTGAATCTCTTTTCGTTCCCTCCCCCAAACCTGGCAGTTTCTCACGGCAGTCAAATCAAAGGCAAACAAATTGTGAAAAAGGGATTCAGGGGAGTATAAGTTCATCGAAGTTCATGGTTCTTATGGTTTTATGTTTTTTTAGCCTTGGTTTTAGTGATTCTCTGGGGCATTGTTTGGGGTGGTTTGGGGTCTTAACTTTCACTTTTGATGTTTGGAATAGATGAGGGTAGGATTTGTTTTGACTGTTTGGGTTTTACGTTTGGGTTGGGGTCTCTGATGTTTATCATCTCTCCCTTCCACCAGTGTTCAATTGACATGCTCTATTTTGCAGATCTATATCATTCATGATCGCTTTGGCTATACCATATTATGCCATGTTTTGCAATATTGTACCACATAATATCATAATATCATATAATATAACTGTGAATTGTGCTCCACACATTCTTGCACATTCCAGGTGGCATTTGCATATCATGATTTTCCAACATGTGGCCGCTACGGCCCAATTCCCATTTTAGGGCTAAGGGATGCCTTAAGGCTTTTGAGCTGATGGTCTACATGGCCTGCTGCCCCGGCATAGCAAAAAGGGCAGCCCAACTTCTTGCGCTTGCTGCACTTTGCGTGGCAGCCTCTTGGTTTGGATTTCGTGACCCTCCAACCAACATTGGTAGCGGAGCGGCACGCTCCAGAGCCCTACTACCTCCCTACAACCTGGACACCTTCACCTACAAGAACATCTACGCCCATCCACTGCGCTACTACAACCTCATCACCCTCTCATCACCCTCTACTACCTCCCGTGGTCTTGGTCTTCGACGATGCCGACATCTGGAGACCCTGCTACATCGACTTCGAGCACTACTGGCATGGAGCTGCTGAAGGACACCTACATCCCAGTGTTCAACAACAAGCCTGGTGATTACCGTGAATGGCGCCAACGTATTGGCCTTTACCGCCGAAAGCTGGAGCTACAAGGAAAAGGGAAAGAAGCTGTGCTCAACGTCCTGACCAGCTTGCATGGCGTGGCCTGGCGACAGTTGGAGCCGAAGGTGGAGACGATCTTGTCGAAAGATGAGGGTGCCTTTGACCTCATTCTCAGTGAGTTGGACTCTACGTTCCGCTACAACGAGGATGTCGAGATGCCTCGTGCCTTTGAGAAGTTTTTCTATGGGACAACGAGGCGACCAGAGCAGACCTTGCTGTCCTATGTAGCGGACCATCGAGAAGCACTACATGAAGTTGAAAAACATGGAGTTCAAGTGTCTGACAAGGTGAGCGGCTGGATCCTCTTGAGGCGCTCAGGTCTCTCAGGAGAACAAAAGCAGCTGATCCAAAGTCAATGCCCCAAGCTGTCCTACGACAAGGTTGTGGAGGCGATGTACTTTTTGTTGGGCCAAGACTACAAAGGCAAGTCCCATGATGCAACCACGAAGTGGAACAAGGGACGAACCTATGGGAGATGGTCCAACAGACAGCATGGCTATTTGACTGAGGAGACCTATGACGCCGAGGAGATCTACCCCGAGGACTATGCCTACCAACAATGGGATGACGATGAACTCTATGGTGAAGACTATGGTGATGATTGGGATGAGTCCTACAACGAGGACACCTACAACGCTGCCGACTATGAGGACGCGGGCTTCCCGGACGAGCCCTTGGATGATGGAGGTGAACTTGAGGAGGCATACGCCTCATACCTTGATGCCAGGCGACACTTCGCCCAGATGAAAGCTGCTCGAGGCTACTTCCCTGTCGTTGCCTTGACGGATGGGGGACAATCTATGCCAGCAAGTTCACAGGCACCACGAAGCCCTTTGAAAGGCAAAAGCAAGGGCAAAGGCAAGGGCAAGATCAAGGGGAAGCCATCCCTGCGACAATCCAATCCACCACAACGTGGTTCTGCTGCCTCAAGGGCCAATGCTACGCGATGTCTACGTTGTGGACAAGTTGGACATTGGGCGGCAAACTGCACTTCACCTACATCAAAGGCGAGCCCTACGTCATCGACTACCTCCTCACCTTCAAAGAAGGCTAAGACGGAATCAACTATGATGGTGCGCGACCTGGCCAAGCAAGTCCCCAAGGGATTGCCATTGCTTGGCAACGATGGTTTCTTTGGAATCCAAGATGGTGGTGCATCGTCTGTGGTTTGTGGCCATGACGTCTTGATGAACATCGTGGACCACCTGGTGATGCGAGGCGTGCCCATCGAGCGCTTCATGTTCATGGCGACCAACAAGCTGTTTGGCTTTGGGGGTGACGCCAACCGAAAATCAGACTGGTCTGTTAGACTTCCAGTCTACATCGAAGGCCAACCAGGCTACATCGAGACCTTCATCGTCGAGGGCAGTACGCCTCTCTTGATCGGCCGACCGATCTTGCAGGCGCTCAACATCAAGATTGACTACAACCAGAACAAGATCTCTGTCCAAGACGGTGAATGGAAAGACACCACAATGGGTGAGAAAGGAGAGTACCTTCTTCAACTGGACCATGGATTGGAAGATGACCCTGAAGGACATCACATTGCCTTCGACTATGTCACCAGCGAGACCTGCACAGCGATCAACAACTATGACGACCTGGCTGACTATATCAACATCCATGAGTACCTCTCCATGACCAACCGCAGTCCTCCTGAGAAAGCCTTCTTGGAGGAAGACACAACCTTGGAAGAAACACCCACTGAAAGTTTTGAAGATTTCCAAGAAGATGATCCCGCTGCTGTGAGGCGACCGATCACTGACAAGTTGATCAAAACGATGCACATGGAGTTCAACAGCTTCAACCGGCGTCGCAAAGACACCATTGAACAGGTGTTGCATGCCTACCAGACTGGACGCCGCACCTTTTGGGAAGTCTACAGTGGGTCTGGCAACTTGTCTTCAGTGATGCGGGATTGCGGTTGGGATGTCATGACCTTTGACTACAACACGGGCTGGGATTTTGATGTGGCAGCCCACCGGAAAGAATTTCTTCAACTACAAGATCAAGTTTGCCCTGACTTCATTTGGTACAGCCCCAAATGCACTGATTGGTCCCCTCTTCAACAACTCAATGCCTTGACCGAAGATCGAAAAATGGCACTTCAAGCTGAGCGCGACTACCACGAGAAGGTCCACCTGAAGATGTGTCGCCGAAGCTACTTGAAGCAGAGGCGTGAAGGAAGGCATGCCGCCTTGGAGCAACCAAGGTATGCACTGAGCTGGAAGACGACCACCTTGCATGATCTTCCAGGATACCAATGCAACTTGGACCAGTGCCAGTTTGAAGTGATGATGGCTGATGAGAATGGGATGGACCAATACATCAAGAAACCAACACGACTGCAATGCACGGACGAGCACATGGCCAACGAACTCTCACTTTTGTGCCCAGGTGACCACTACCATTTGCCAATTGAGGGCAGTTCACCTGGAGTTGGCAACCGTGCTGCTGCTTCTGCAGTTTATCAAGGAGTTTTCTGCAGCTGCATCGTTCAGGCAATCATCAACCTCTTCATCAACCAGGAGCATGAGCAGACCCTGATGACCCACGAGCGTATCCATGTAGGTGATGACATGGCCGATGAGACCTCACTTCCTCCGGAGCTTGACTTCGAGAACTTGTCCGAGGTTTGGCCTGACACACCATCTCCTGAACAAGATCAACATGCTGAAGTTCGACAACGCCGTGGAGTCCTTCAACGTTTGGATGAATGTGACCGCCAAGCTGCCAAAAGAACGATCACCAAGCTGCACCGCAACTTGGGCCATCCATCCAACAAAGAGCTCATCAGGTTGCTGAAGACCAAGAATGCTGGACCTGCTCTACTACAAGCTGCCCAAGACCATGAATGTGGACTATGTGATCTTCACAAACGTCCCAGTGGAGTACCCGTGTCGAGCATGCCCAAGGACACCACCTTCAATCAAAGAGTTCAAGCTGACACTCTGTGGGTGAAAGTTCCTGGGGTGAAGCACAAGCTTCCTGTGCTGATGATGTCAGATGCTCACACGAGACTTCTTGCAGCTCGCTTCATCAAGGCCGAGACCTCTGAGGAGTACATCAAGCAGATTGAAGCTGCCTGGATCAGCTTCTTTGGACCCATGAAGACCCTGCAGGTTGATGAACACAGGGCTTGGGCATCAGATGCCATGCGAGAATGGGCAACTGAACATGGGATCCAATTGGTGATTTCTCCGGGGCAATCTCATACAAGATTGGCCATTTTGGAGCGAAGACATCAGGTGACAAGAAGGGCGATTTCCCTCTTTCTGGAATCCAACCCTGGTGTCGCTGCTGACAAGGACGCCCTCATCATTGCCTTGACCTACATTGTGCCGCAGCTGAACAGGATTCCAAATGTGCATGGATACAGCCC